ATGTAAAACACCTACCCACTCTGTCATTTTTTTAAGAATATCACTCAGCACTTTTGTATAAAAAGAAAAAAAAGGAGTCTAAGTAATAAAGAATGTACTTCTGTTTGCACTTGTGCAGTATGGAGACTGTGCTGTAAATACAGGATTGTTTCTGTGATTGAATTCTGTTGCATGAATGCTGCATGTGAAAAAATAGATTCAGCATTTCATTTTCTGTTCTGTTGATGAAGTATTTTTCCTTTGGTGATGGTAGGTTTCCGTGTTTCCAGTGTTCAGTGAGCGTTGTTTGGGAAATGCAGGTGTTGTGCAGGTGTAGTGCAGGRAGTGAAGAGCTTGTAACACTCTGTGTGTTCATGTGATATTTAATTTCTTCCTTTATGGAAATTCAGGGAGCCTGTAAGTTGGTGATTGGTTCACTCTGGCCTTTTTAGCACGTGGGAGATGGGAGTGGTKRTAAGATGTACTGTTTTGGTAGCTAYTGTTATATGAGCTAAMAAATGAAGCCAAAAGAATTAAGAATACTGTTTATTGTACAGTACAAGGCTGCTTTGTTTCACTTATCTCTTTATGTTCTTCAGACAAGCTGCAGAATTTAAAAGTTCCTTATGCAAACTGGCCCTGTGTTATCTGCAACACACTGAGCACTGTCACAATRTTATAATTGGTACCCAGTTTAAATGTATTCCAGCTGTTGCTTGGGTTCTCTTTCCTATTACATCATTTTGAAAAAAATATAGCTTTTGGTAGTGATAAATTAAATAAGATAAATCAAATCCATGGTAATTTTAAAAGATAGAAATAGTCTGTTATCCAAAATCAGAGTAGGGCTAATTTGTCTGTTGTTCTGATGGTCATATATTCTGTACTGTATGTAATGAACCAGTTTCAGTAAATGTAAGAACACACTGTGCAATCTATATTTAAGCAATAAAATAAACCAAAATTTAAAATCGAATCTTTTCTAAGGTGTCCTTCAATTTTTATTGCTCATGTTTAAGCTGTTAATTACTAATTTTTTAGCATTTAAAATAGCCATCAGTTTACACACCCATTTGGTTTTGCAGATGGTACAGCATTGCATTGTTATTAAACTGCTGAGTTTATTTACTATTAAATCTGGACTGGCTTGAGAGGYRGGGCTGTGWGAATCTCATGTGGTTCARCAAGGCCTGCAGGGTCCTACTTGGGTCAGGACAATCCCAGGCTCAAACACAGGCTGGGAGGAGAATGTATCAAGTGCAGCCCTGGGGAGAAGGGCTTGGGGTGTTGGTGGGTGAGAAGCTCGACAAACCCAGCAATGTGCTCTGGCATTTGAGAAATCAAACCTGTGTCAGGCTGCATCCAGCACCACATGGGGSAGCAGATGAGGGAGGGGATTCTCCCCCTCTACTCTGCCCTTGTGAAAATCCACCTGGGCTACTGCATCTGGCTCTGGAGCCCCCCAAAAAAGAAAGAGGTTGACTTGTCCATAGGAGGCCCCAAAGTTGATCAGGGAGCTGGAGCATCTCTGCTGTGGCGACAGAGTTGGGGCTCTTGATCCTGAAGGAACATGATTTCCCTTGGCTCCTGATCCCCCCGGCTCTGGGGAGACCTTACAGCACTTCGTAGTACCTAAAGGGGGTTCAGGGGAGCTGGAGAGGAACTTTGGACAAGGGCATGTAGTGATAAGACAAGGAGGCATGCCTTCAAACTGAAAGAGTAGATTTAGATTATATTTTAGGAAGAAATTCTTTCCTGTGAGGGTAGTGAGACACTGGAACAGCTTGCACAGAGAAGCTGTGGGTGCCCCATCCGTGGAAGGGTTCATGGCCAGGTTAGATGGGGGTTTGAGACACCTGGTCTAGTGGAAGGTGTCCCTGCCTATGGGRCAGGCAAAKAATYCAATGCTTAAAAAATTAAAATATTGAAGTAGGAAATATTTTTAGATTAATAGTTAATAAACTAGCTGTTTGCTTTTGGTAAACAGCTAGGTTATGGCCAGCTGTGCCTCAAAGCCATGRAAAATACATTGTAATGTGATTATGAGAACGAGAGAAGAAAGAAAAAAAGCTGAGCTAAATGTTCCTTCTTGATTTGCTTGTCTTTTTTTATTATTTTAGCACTGATCTCTGATTACAAATAAATGTAGCTAATCATAACTAGATCATTTAAAACTTTTCTTAATCAACACCATTTATATGGTACCAATTACAGCACAACTTGGGTGTTAAATTCTTGCTGAAATAATGGATACTGGGGAAAAAGGTCTAAAGGAATTAATCACAACATTGCTTGAATAACAGCACATTTATTTTGTTGTGTCTCTTTTACTTGATTGATCAAATTATCTGTCCCTATCTGTGCAGTCAGAAAATTTAGCATCATTGAATGAATGTTTGCATAACCACAAAGGTAGTAATAATTAGCAGAAGGGAATGGGAGTTTATTTTAAGGTGTTCAGAGCAGCAGTAAGTGCTCTCAGGGAGGAGCTGGTGTTATTGTTATTCTGCAGTGCACTTCATTCACCTRTTTACAGGCTAGTTTTCCCCATTTCAGCTCATTATCTAGCTCACTTTCTTATTGCAATATTTATTTTAAAGTGCTGTGAAATGTAGTTTTCCATCCCTATAATAAAAGGCTAGTAAAAGTTGCAACACAATGCACATTTCATCCTCAGCATAGAACAAAAATGGGCATTTTGCATTTGTAGCATTTTGCTTCAGTACTGATACGTCCTCTTTCTGTACAGAATAAGGGGGGAATTAATTAAATTTTTTTCTGCAAATAGAAGTTCTCACATCACTTAGCTGACCTCTCTGCCTTCCCTTAAAAAAGGCTTTTTGTTCTGTTGTTTTTTCCCCTAGTAGTGATGGTGTAGCCACTGGGATCCAGAGGGAGTCACGTGACGTAATATCTTTGGGATTTAATTTGGGAGTTTGTGTGATGAGATTTTTTTTTTGCTTGTTTGCAGGGTTTTTTGGTGGGGGGAGGGAGGTTTTTTGTTTGTTTTGGTTGGTTGTTTTTTTTTGTTTGGTTGGGGTTTTTTTGCACTGCAGTAATCCTTTGTACTTTTAATGTGGGAAAAATACTGAAGGTGGAGTATCAGCAGCCAATTTATAGAATATAAACTGCTCATCCAAGAACATTCACAGGTATTTTCACCAACTGTTCTCACACCATTCAGTTCACACAGGATCAGATGCTGGGGTTCAGTGAAGTGCTCCATGATCTGGAAGAACACAGGCAGAGTCTCTGCATCCAGCATGAGGGTAAAGTGATTGTTCTGTAAGGAATACTTTGGCAAAGTTCAGCCAAGATTGTGGAGAAGATGTAGAACAAGATGAGGGAGAAGAAACCCAGACCTTGCAGCCGTACAAGCTATAGATTGGAATGAAAGAAGGAACTAATTTCATGGAATTACTTTAGCTTCTCGGCGTTTCCTGTTAAGTTCAGTAAAGGAAGAATGTCTGCAAAAGGAGTTGGAGTAGTTGCAGGTTGGTTTAATTAAAAACATGAAGTACTTGGCCACCATCAGTAAGATCCAGTCCTAACCAAGTGCACAGTTAACAAATCAGTCTGATCATAACTGTTTTTACATAGCAATCAAGTGAAATTATACACAATATTGTCAGATAATTATTTATGGTAATAGCTGACCTCGATAGRTGGTCCATAGTGCTGACCTTCCTACAGCAAGGAGTTAATACAGCCTAACACCTAATCCTAGTCTATGATTGTGTCATTTGTGTGCTGGAGACTGTGAAGCAGCCTRTAGAGTATGAGGAGGAAGGTACCAGTGGCTGACTGTAGCCATGCCACTTCCCAAGCCCATGCAGATGGGTGGTTATCTGTCCTCATGTCCCCCTGTTCTGGAGTTCCCCATGGCACGCCGTGTCCCTCTCTTGGCTCTTTGGAATCCGCTCTGCCGGGCACCTTCCTCCTCACTGCTCTCCTCAGAGCTGGAGCCCCCTGTGCCTGTTTGTGTGCCTGTTTGTGTGCCTGCTGGAGGCCTTTCAGCAGGGTCACCTTGGCAGGAGACCTTCTCCTCTCGGCACTCCTGCCCGTGGGGAAGCTTCAGGCTCTCGTTGAAGAAGGCAGAAGCCATGCACTCCGCTGCAGCCTTGTCACAGGCACAGAGGAGCTTYTCACATGTGCTCCAACCAATGCCTGAAAGAGAAGTCACAATGTTTGAAAGCTGTTTAAAGAYTCGATGTGTCATTTGCCATGGGTAAATGAATTCTGAAAGTAAAATTTTGAGATCTGCCATGAATTTTAGCCTTCAAAATCACCACTAATTATCCAAATACAAGACCGCCACAGGTGCTGGGCAGTAGAAGGTCTGACTGGCTTTAGTTGAATTTGGGAATGTAAAGACACAAATAGCTGACTTCTGTCTGCAATTATAAAACTCCTGAATGTAATTTTCTCAGCCTGACCTGGTCACATCATACACAGCTGTGTAGTAACCTTTGTCTCAACTAGGAAAAAAGCTGAAGTTTATATTAAACATTGCTAACTTTTTGAAAGCTAAATATTTCTGTCTCCATGCTCAACTCTCAATCAGGGTGGCATTCAGTCTCATACTGATAGACTGTCATCAGGATTTGAGAATTTCCTCTAGCACAAACTTACATTTTGGCATGTGATCAAAACATACAACTTCAGATCTTGAATTTCTTTCTGCATGACATCCAAAYTTCTTAACTTGTTCCATACAGCAGTTATGAGAGAAGCAGCATCTAAAATAAACAGTAAAAGTAAATGGAAAATATTTACTCTTCCTGAATGCCAGAGTGCTCAGAATTATTTATATCTTTTTATTTTAAATACCCACTAAAACTGCTAAATTTTAGTTTTCATACCATGGAATTTTTCTTTTCTGTGAAGAGCAAAAAGCAACCCAAACTGTTCCTACTTTTCTCTTATACTTRTCCCTACTTTCACTTCCTTAGTACTTTGCTGTCATGTGATTAACAGGGGTTTGTTTTAATTTTAAGACACATAATAACCATGACCTAATCTGTCATGAGAAGTGTSTTCAAGTGTTCAAATCTTGGCTGGAAATCTGCAAACTGCATCATGATAGCCAGATCATGCCATCATGTAATCCAATTTTTCATGAGTAGACAGTTTTGTGTGTGTGAATGCAGGTAAAAGGCGTGTGCTATGCTTAGACCTGATGTGCCCCAACTGTTATGAACTTCCACAGAGGAGGAGATTTTTAGCTGTGAATACAAGAGCTCTCAGAGGAACTTTTGTGGAATTCTCTGCACAGCTCCTTCTCATCTGTGCTGKGGTGCACAGGTTTGGCTGCTACTCTGACAGGACTTTGCTTGAGCTTTTCTCCCTTCTGTAGGACAGCATGCCCTGCATGGATGATAATTCCTCTCTTCATAAATCACTTTCCAAGCCACCCCTTAGCCAAGTTTCACAGGGACTCTTATCCTCATTCATTTGATGTGCTCCTCCTTCTGCTCTGCTAACCTCCCATCATACTCCTTTCTTATTTTAATTGAGTTAGTGAGTCCTCTGCAAGACATTGATGCAACAATAGAATGCGTTTAGTCACATTAGAGTATTGCATGTTTTATTTATTTAAGTGGATTTTTTCCCCCAAATACAACTACTGACACATAGCTTTGCAATGCCCAACAAGAGATGTACTGATCTTTCTTGGTCCTCGGGCACCTCAATAACACCCACAGATAATGGCACAAATAAGAGGAGCCCACACCTGTCCAGTGCATCGGTGGGATGACCTCTTCCCTCTTGGCCACAATAGCAGCCATAAGACTCAAATTCCTCTGGGCATCGTTCAGTTAAGCAGAACAGCATTTCTCCAAGYTGGGGTAGCTCCTTCTTCACTCTTCCATGTCCTCTGTCTTGCAGAAATGTCAGTCTCTCACACACTAGAAAGCAAGGTTTTTATTTGACACATCACTTGTTCACTGGTTGAGGGCTCTCTTGTGAAGGTAGAAGTGTTTCCAGAGCTATCAGAAACTTTGAAAGGTACCACATTACCACCTCTAAATTATTGTTTCATTCCATGAATTAGGGCTCTTAGAATATTGCTGAGCACATCAGYAGAAGGGCCAGGCAATATTTAAAGGGGAGAGAGATCCCTATGAAGATATACAAGACAAATTGGATTGCAATGAGAATACTTTGCAGTCCTTTGTAATCTTTCATAGCTATTCTTTTTCTTTTGGAATATTCAAACCTGACTATTCAGTGGTTTCTGTCTTGGTAACTCAGAACATACAATCCTAACCTCTTCTGCTTCCACACAWGATAGCTGTGTGATAGCTGGGCAATGACCATGTTTTGCTGGACGAAACGATAATTTTTTTGTTTTCATTTGAAATGTCCAATTTGAGSTATGGTGCCCCTAGACCAAATGCAGGAGTGATCTGTTGCAATGGCTACTGTGCTGCTGAGGTTTTGCCATCACCAAATCCCAATCCTAATGTCCCTGTGGCTCCCCACACTTGGGAAGAATTGATATTGTGGGAATTGTTCATAAGATTGGAAAGAACAGTGTTCCATATCAGGAAAAAGACATGAAGGGGGCTTCTTCTGAGACTTTGCCAGGGAAAGGGTTGAACGGGCTGATGGGTGGATTGCAGGAGAGAGAGGGAGGGCTTCTGTTCCCTCTCCATCCTCCTTTCTCCCACAAGTAATCCCAACTTCCCTTCTGTAGCTCCAGATTGATTCCCTTCTCCTGTCTGGGTCAATCCTGCCTCACTATCTCCAGTAGGAAATTCTGGCCATGTGCCTCTTTGGGTCTTGACCAATTCATGTTAATTCACAGAAGGAACCACAGGTTAATGCATTCACTGATCTGTACTCTCTAAAAGCCAGTATTTTAAAATCAAATTTTCCAGTTTGGTGAAAGGTGGGTTTSATGATTCTGCTCTTTTCCAATTCCAGGGCTGCTTTTCTCCATTGGGAAGCCTAATAAGATGGATGGGACAGTCTTTGGCTGCAAATTTATAGCAGTGACAGGTCTGAAATGTCYTGGGATCTCTGAGATCTCTGAGCAGGAATTGGAACAGAATCAGAAATGGTGAGAAAAAGTTTGGCAGGCAACACTTTGGCAAACAGTGAGAATGAAGAGCAGGGAAGTTCCTATTGCTGTTGCCTCTGTTGGAAAACAAAAAAACTTAAAGATTTGTTTAAATTACTTCCTGCAAACAAAACATTCACTGAGCTCATTTKAGATATTATGAAAAATGTACTTACACGCTGATAAAAAGTTTTTGTGTTAATGACAGCACATATTGGCAGGAGAGGTTAAAGATGGAAGCTTTTGCAGATGTCTCCACCTCCTGTTCTAAATACCAATACATGTGTGCTTGTCGTTTAAAAAAAACTATAACCTTCATATGTAACACATACCTGCTTTTAGTACAGAGTTAGCTGAATATTTCAACAGATCTAATGGGGAAAAAAAAAATCCTTTATTTACCTTTTCCTGCAGGTCCTCTGTCAGACAGTCCCAGGTCCAGAGCTATTCCAGAGGAAGCTGTTCTCAGGCCACCCCTTGCAGGGCTCGTCTCTGGAGAAGGCAAATGCATAGATTAGACTTGTGAAGGTAGAATAAACTCTTCTTTCAGCAGTGTGTACAAAAGTGCTGAACTATTATCAACTGACAGTCTTCTAAAATTTGTTAATTTTTAGTGGGAGGCTGTTTGTTAATGGGTAGTTAAGTTTTCTTGGTCAGTTGGCAGTGAGCTGCCCTTTCCAGGGCAGTCAGTGTTATGCATCCTGTGCTGTATGTAACCTCCAGATTTAGGGACAAAACAGTGTCATTCTGTATATCCATGGAAAATGCTGACTCCTGTGAACAGCAATAGGGGAGTGCTGTAAATGAGAAAATTCATTTTTCACTTGCCTTTTCCTTTTGTCCTTGCAGGTGTGCCTGTAGGAATTGTCGCGGTGGGGACAATTTTGACTTGCATTGAGTTACTGTCTCCTGGGAATGGGGCTGGGGAGGTGGTTATCTCTCCCACTGGGACCACAGCCTCCACAAATCCATCTTCTGAATAAGCAGGAAAAGGAAAGCAGATGAAGACATAGAAAATAAACAGCAAGATTTTAATTTTAGATATCTGGTCAGAGTAATATCCTCAGGCAGAGCTAGTGTGAATTGATGGTCATAGAGAAAGAGCATCCAAGAGGAAAATTGGAAAAGCAGAGTATCCACACTGGTCCTTTATTCACATCTCTGCCTTTCAGAAGAAAGGATTGTGGTTAATTATGATCAGTTTAACTGCTGATTATTTTTTTTTTAAATTCTATACGTACTGAGACAAATAAAACTGTGCCAAGTGCTGAAAATCATGTTGGATGCTGCTTAGTCAGCTGTAGGGGGAGATAAAGTGCAGGTGTGGTGTCATGCAATGTCATTTTCTGAGTAAATTGCTTTAAAAAAGTGTTCACCTGAAGTTTCTAAAACTGAGAGCAACATTAGTGAAAGCAGGAAATTATTTGAYTGATGCAGAGATGGGTGGCTGAAGGTTTAGTGGGTTGTAACCACAAGGAAATAYTGAGGGGAAAATAAGTTGATGTCTGTTTTCAGGAGATTGTTTATCCTAAAAATTAAATTCATATTTSTTTTTAGATTATCTGATCAACTTTATTGTTGTTCAAGAATGTTTTGTTGAATTTGGACGCACTTAAAATATTCCCTCTTTGTTTTTAAACCTTTTATTTTAAATATAAACTAATTTGTAAATGAAAACACTTATAAAATGGTTTCATTTTTTTCTAAATTTCAATGTGAACGAAGTGGCATTTCACAAAATAAATACTTTGAAAATAGTAATGGGCATGTATTTTCATATTTTTAAAKATTTCCTTTGGAATTCTTTGGCTGAATTTATTAATTGGCCTAAACTCAAATTCATTAAACTTGTCCCTCTGATGTTTTAGTATGTGTTGAAAATAACCTATCACAGGATAAGAGAATAGATTAAAAGAAATTAAAATACTGCTAAGAACACAACAAAGCCCATGAAAGGTGGCAGAAGGRATCAATAGTCACACACTGGTTTTGACAGCTCAGCAAGGTGCAYATTTTATGCGACTTTGTTTGGCAGTGGAATGTTGAAAGCGATTCCTGGTGGATGCARAAAATAAAACCAGTGTTTGGGAAAWTCTGCACWTAGCTAAGARTARATATGACAAATAATCTCCTGGGACCAGTGCAGACCTGCAACACAATACACAGCTTTTCTGATACATTCAAGTTAATGTAAGAGAGCATTTAGTGATTTTGACCAGTGCTTAGTACAGTAATGCCAAATTCATTGGGATGGGAGACAGGGATATTGTTCAGACATTGTAATCAGAGTCAAAAAATTACTGCTTTCTATTCTCCACATGCAGTTTTCCTTTGCATTTTTCTGGTGGATTTCAGCCTGCCTGGATAATCCTTTCTATRCAAAAGGGGCCACAGAAAACTTCCAAATCTACCAAGGTGCTCCATGTTGAGCTGTACTTCCTGGTGAGGTTGTGCTCAAAACATGGACACCTGTGAAAGCTGGAACAGGTTTCAGACTGGGAAAGAATTCCATGAAATTATCTATAATAAAGGAGGAGGCAAAATCAAAATGAATGCTCCTGGCAGCAGATGCTGTGAWTGTACTTTACAGAAACAACCATTATATCATAAAATCTTGTATGAAGAGGCTTTCAGAAATACTTGGATGAGGAGTGCAAATGAATGCCTGGAGGCAAGGAACAGCTAATGCTTCTCAGCCAGGTTTTATTGTTTGTGTATCTGCTATCTGACCCTGATCTAAATTTGATTCTCCAGCAGCCCTGTTGTTACCATGCAAAGGGTTTTAACTGTGATGCTTTTAGATGAAGAATTGCTGTATCAGTCAAAGAAAGAAGAAAACTGAGGGTCACTGACCTTTTATTGAGAGAACGAGGGGAGTAGGAGCTGTGCTTCTGTGGTCCCTTGTGGTAACTGTACAAAAAACAGAGGCATCATGGTAGTGACCTACCTGCTGAAATTCTGCCATGCATTTCTGCAGTGACTTTTACTGAAAGCATCATAAAGCTTAACCAAACATCACTATTAGCCTGGATCTATAAAGATGGTGATTAGGAGAAGTGTTTTGCAGACAGATGTGCAAGTCAGCAGATGTAGAGGTATTATCCAGAAATCCTGTGCTGCAGATTTTTGACTGAGACACCACAGAGCTTCATAAATGAAAATCCATCTYCACCTGGAGTTAAGAGTGCCAAATTGATAAACAAAAGTTTAATGAGGCTCTTACCTCTGGCACTGGAAGTTGCCAAGACTTTGTCACGAGGCTCAAAAGGAATCACTGTTGGAAACAGAAAATGTAAACTCAGGAAACACACTGCCTGCACARTTATAAATAGTCAAGTTGCTGCGAATGGATAGATATTTGCCTATTTTTCTCACTTGTGCATTGATTGTTATAGACAAAGTGATAAGGATAAAATAATCTCATGCAAATAACGTACATTGTATTAACATAGGATTCTGTGATTCCATGAAAAAAGCAACAAATAAGACTGAATTGAGAAATTCAATATTAATTCCCTTTGACAGACAAATAGACTAAGCAGGATTAGGTCTKGAATCCCAGTGTTGTGCACAGAAGGATGCYACATTCCTTGTGAAYTCCTTGTGTTTGCCTGCACTGAAARTCAGGTATGGGCAGCCATAAGGCCAAATACCTCYCTGACCTCTAAATTACTTCTTTATCTGATAAAATGATTTCCATTTGTCAGCTTCCTTTTGATAAACTATAAACATAGCTATCAAATGATCTAAAAAAAATCATCTCCTCATCTTTTTCTGTGTTGTTAGGATGTTGTGATGTGAAGAACTCCCTTGCCTTTGAAAGAGTTTCTCAGTGATACTTAGCTTTGATTTAATGCAGCTTCCACAGCTGTCAATGTTGAAGCTTCTTTGGGCTTGAATGGGGAGACAACTGGTTAAATAGTGAGTGCTTCTCCAAATTTCCTTCTAAGACTGATTAGATATGTTGTCTATGTTATGTTTTTAGCTTTCTAAAATTTCTAATAGAAGTTTTTTTTTTTTTTTTTACTCAGTAATACTTGGAGCCTTTTGATGGACTATGCCTCATTTGAGAGCATGAGTAGTTGTTTCTTCAGGAACTAAAAGATTGCTACAGAAGTGCAAATTCAGGTGCTCTCACTTCAGGAGTTCTATTACAAAATGTCCCAGAAGCAGATAGAAAAATATGAACCAACRCTGGAGCTGCTGCTAGGGAAGACCAAAAAATATCTGGTAAAAAGCTACTTTGACAATACAGAAGAGATGTGAAGGAACAACCAGCACTTAAAATCATCATAAGGCCTTTCCAGGTACCTACACTTGTGCACGTGCTGCTATTTAAAAAAAAAAAAAAATAGAAAAAACCCCACAAACCTTTAAAGGTCAGAAACATTGTTGCTTTTACAAAAATGTTCCGTAGGATTTTCTTTATTCTGGATTCACACTTAGGGCAATGCTCACACAGAAGAGCCCACTACAGCTTGTAACCAGGCTCTTAAGCACTCAAAAAACCCAAATTCCCACATCTCCCCAGGCAAAATGGCCTARTGGAWGATGTCCCTGCCCATGGCAGTGGGATTGGAATGAGATGATCTTTAAAGCCCCTTCCAGCCCAAACCAATGTGATTTTCTGAGTTAAGCAGTGGCCAGGTTGCTCAAATCCAGTGCACATTGTTTGTCTGATTGGCAGAAATGGGGTCTCCGAACAGAGAATCATGGAATGCTCAGGGTTGGAAGAGAACCTTCAGATCTAATCTTAAATCTCCCCAGACTCATCTTAAGGCCATTTCCTCTGCTTGTTTCACTGAAGCCACTGCTCCTTCAATGACAGGGTGGCTTTGCTTGTGGTGGAGCCACATAAYGAGTACAGCAGCTAAATCAGGTAATGGTCCAAGGCTGGTCTCCCTCTGTGCTTCACATCTTGGCCCTCTCTTACAAGGTGTGCCCTCCCACAGCTACCAAGGCCTTGGGGTGATTTCTGTCTCTGGCCTCTCGTGTTGCAGTGCTCACAGGTAGGAAGAGAATAGTTTCAGCCACGGATTGCAGCAAAAAGAAAACAAACAAACAAAAAAAGATAAAATTAAGACAGTCAAGAATTATTTGGTCTCGTGGTTTAGAGACTCACCCAGGAGGCTCCAGAGTGAGGAGGTTTCAGCCCRGGTCTTTTCATTCCAAGTAAATAAATCACCAAAGTGGTGGTTCATTTCCACAAACCATGCTCAATGTTTCCTCATACTACTGCTTCATCTTAATTAATTCAACGTATTTTAAACACAAGAAATATGCAATTGGCCTTGGGTCCAGTGGTTGGCACCCACACAGGGCATCTCTGCCAAACAGCTCACCTGCTCCAACCTGTGTTCCCAGGGAAAAAAAAGCTGCTTTGATTAAAACAGCTTTTGTTGTAGAACGTTCATTCTCAGCCCTTGGGAAACTTATTGTAACCCCTGGTTAAGCACATTGCATTCACAAATTGAAAAGTTGCACCTTCCTATTCAGTCTTAAATTCCATCACCAAAACATTGCATCTACTTTTACATCAGTCCTTTCAGAAGGGCAGAAAGAAAGCTAACATCTTATATTCTTTCAGCTTTTGGGAGCTGAAAGCAGGGCTTGTTGCAAACCTTCTTCCACAGATGCC